AAAAAAAAAAATCCAACTTTTTTGTCTTGCAAATATTTCCAGCCCATTCAAACTTACTTGCAAATAAGGAAAACCTTTTATATATACCAAAATTACCCCCAATTCATTGAAACCCAATTCAATTCCAATTTCATGATTTACACCCCAATTTAACTCAATTTCACCAATTAACCAATTTTGACCCCAATTTTGACTCGCCACCACCGGAGGCCGCCGGTCTCAAAGCGTTGACTTTTTTTCTGAATTTTTTTTTCCGGTATGTCAACCGTCGTTGACCGCCGGGTCTCGGGCATTGACTTTTTTTTTTTTTTCTTAAAAAATATATTTTAATTAATATTACTGTCTTGGCTGCTAAATTACTGTCTCCAGCAGTTATTTAACTGTCGGGTACAGTAATTTAACTGTTAATTGTTTTTTTTTTCTTAAAAAAATATTTTAATTAGTATTACTGTCTTGACTGCTAAATTACTGTCACCAGCAGTTATTTTACCGTCGGAGACAGTAATTTAACTGTTAATTGACTCTTTTTTCCTTAAAAAAATATTTGTATTAATATTACTATTTTGGCTGCTAAATTACTGTCTCCAGCAGTTATTTAACTGTCGGAGACAGTAATTTAACTGTTAATTGACTTTTTTTTTTGAAATTTTGTTTTTTCTTAAAAAAAATTATTTTAATTAATATTACTGTCTTGGCTGCTAAATTACTGTCTCCAACAGTAGTTTAACTGTCTGAGACAGTAATATTACTGTATTAATTAATTTTATCGTCTTGGCCTTCATTTTTGCTATCTTCGACTATAATATTACTGTCTCCGACCGTAATATTATTGTCTTATGCAATAATATTACTGTTTGGGACAATAATATTAGTAATATTACTGTTCGGAAAAATAATATTCATAATATTACTGTCTCAAACAGTAATATTACTGTCTGAGACAGTAATTTAGCAGGCATGACAGTAATATTAATTAAAAAAAATTTTCTAAGAAAAAAGAAAATTTCAAAAAAAAAAAGATTGAAAAATAAAGTCAACGCCGAAGACCGGTGGTCAATGGCGGTTGACCGGCCGGAAAAAAACTTCAAAAAAAAAAGTCAATGCCGGAATCTGGCCGGAAAAAAAAATTAAGAAAAAAAATTATTTTCTCAAAAAAAAATATTTTTTCAAAAATTATTAAAATGGGGGTTAATGTGATATATTTGTTTAAATCCGGGGTCAATGTGTAATATTAAGGAAAATAGAGCATAATGGATGGAATTGACAAAAAATATATTATGGAAGATATTTTTAACTAAAGACATGGGGATGAGTTTATTTGAAAGACTGTTTTTTGTTTTACCAATGTGTAGTTAAGTCCATTGTCATGTGACTCATGTCCCCTTTTTGCCATTAGCCAAAAAAATTATACTATATTAGTATATTTAGTTAATCTTAGCCAATTTAACTATGCAACATTATTTAATTTTCCCAAAGAGCGTTACATGCCGGAAGAGGGTTGGAGTGTTGCTATCAGTGCTTAAACAAGTACATGCATACCAATAAACCTAATGAGGATAGAATATTTCATAATCCCAAACAATCCAAATCAACAACAGCTATATGCTGGCTGTCTATACTCGTGTTAAGAAGAATACAAATTGTGGTAGGGTTAGGGTTAGGGTGGGGGTGGGGTGGGGTGGGGGTGGGTGGGGTGGGGTTAGGGCTATTGGCCATTTGCCATGTTATGACAGGTTGTGAATGTGCTAGTTAATATTGTTCAATTTATATATATATATTATTTGTGTTTTCTTTTAATAAAATAATATCTACTGTTTGTCCAAATACTCGGCAACTTGAAATTGTTTAATTTCAGTGTATTTTGAATGTGTGTGCCAGCCATATTCAGAAAGGTTCCTTCGATCCTACACCCGGTGATAAACAGCGGGTGTA